GAAGTTTTAGAAGAGCCTCCCTAATATTGTTCTGTATTGGAAGAGTTTAGCAAAATTATGTGCTTATTTATTTCCACCCTGCTGTCTCCACATTCCTCACTCTTTCTGGCAGCTTTCTTCTCACACAGTTTGTTTCTCCCCTACTCTAAAATCTACAGTGAAGGCCATTAAAAGTGAGGTGCCACAGCAGTGAACAGGCAGGGCTGAGCCAGCCACCTGTTTTTGGGGCCGAGTGGCCGAGATTCTCCTTCACCATGAGCCCAGGCCAGCAGATTAGGCAGCCACTAATTTACCATATTTTAATTAAACATACTTAATACAGCAAAAAAATGACAAACTTTTAACTTTACTGGACAGAGTCATGAGAGCATAACTAATTTACCTTGAGCTGATTATCATCTGCCCTATGTTTTCAGCCTACATCCGTGATTTCCTATATTTAGCATTATTATCATATTTACATTCTCTTAATGATTTCTGCTCATTTGGAAAAGGCTAGCACATGCTTATTCTTACAAATAAGAAACATATATTTTAAAAGCAAAATTTGAAATTTTCAGATAAACAAGAGTAGAAAATCTTATATCCATATTAACTCTACACCAAGAGGTAGGTACACAGGGAGGTGCACGCTGTTTCCAGATGCTCACATTATCCATTTGGGAGCAAAGGTGCCAAATTAGATCTGTCACTCTGTTGAAACAACTCTTCCTGCCTCTCCTAGGACCTGGTATAAGCTGCCAGAAGTGTGTAACCCTTGTGGTTGTAGAAAGATAGATTGAAAATCAGCTCCCTGGGGATTTAGAAGACTAAATGTAGTACTAAAACAAAGTGATTCATTTTCTGTAATTTTAGCTGTGATAAAAACTTTTTCTATAACCTAAGTGAAATCCCAAAAGCTTTCTATTTTGTTACAGCTACCTACAGTACAGCACCAATGACAACTATTGTTGTCCTCACTGATCTAATGGAGGGATGATGATTAATAAGAAAGCTCATAAGCAATGAAAATTATATTTGGATTCCAAAACAAAAATGGATTTAATTTGTCCCTTGCACTGGTTTTACAGCCACATATGAAGAATCAACTATGCTAAAGGCTGCAGAAACACATGGCCATGGGAAGCCCCTGCCTCAGAAACCTAATGGTGTGCAACCTGCCAGTGATGAAATGTAAGTAGCAATTTCAGAAAAGCGGCATCAAACATGAAAAGCTTGGTACTTATCTCAATTTGGACCCAGCAGCTCTTGTAATGCTCACTAGTTACCTGAGAAATACAGCTTCACTTTTTCAGGAAGGCAGGATGATGCTGACCCCAAGATATTTGATGGGAGAATCTAAAGATCAATTTCACTGATTTGCTCTAATAGTTTTCTTCTTTTATTTACCAGAGAGAAACTAGTTACCAAGTATCAAAAGGTTTTGAAAGCTCCAGGTGCTCACATCAGCCAAAGCTTTAAAAAAAGAGATGAGGAGGAATGAACAGGCACTGTGGGGAAAACCTCTCAATGAGGCTGCTGATGATTTGGGATCAGCAATGGTACATTGTGAATAATCCCTTTCAGATTCCCTTGGCCAAACATCAACACCACAGATGTCTTCAGGGATAGGTATGAAAAGTGAAGGATCCTGAGTACACTATACCTCTCCAAAAAAACAAAATCAAATGGGATACTCAGAAATAGACACACAGTCCTTACAAGCTCTTTTCAGTCTGACTGCTCACATACATTTTCTTCTTCAGTATAATTAAAATGCTATACAAACCCTTAATATTCATTTAGCAGTGCTGCAGTGAGCCTTAGTTACAAACTAATCTCTTACACATTTTCCTTTCACATTATTCAGAACAGTGAAAATTTTGTGGTTATACCTTTAGGTTATAATACCAATGTTATACATTAATAATGCTTTTATTCACTGTATTTAAGGTTTAATTTTTCTGTTGCTCTTTCACAATCAGAGATTAACATCTTCCTTCAATACCAGAATGTCTGTGCATTCCTAAAATGCCCTGAAAACAATTTTTATGTTCACTGCATAATACTCCATCAGCTCTGTGCCACTGAAATATTCCTCATGTGATCTATTAAAGAAGAAATGTGTATGTTCACTACTAAGATTCCAGAACATCAAGAACTAAAACAATACCAGTTTAACAGGTATGAACACCAAACCTAAACCCTAAAAGATTAAATTAAAAAGAATCAAACTAAGCAGAACATGTCTTGAAATTCCACATAAGATCCCCAAGACAGAGGAGGAGCAAGCATTGTTCCATTATTTAATAAGGAAATTGCAGATCATTTTGCCTGACATCAACGTCAGGGAAATTGATGGAAAAGCTAGTACAGGAAGAAATCAGTGTACAATGAAAGGATGATAGTACAATTAACGCCAGTCAACACAGAAAATTAGTTTTGTCACGAATAAAAAAAAACCTTCCTATTTTCCCAGGAGACAATGAATTAGTTTGATAAAGTAAACTCCTGTAAGATTTCATTAGGGCTTTGGGTCACAAGTCTACAGGATTTTTGATAGAAGCCCCAGCAATGTATACTATCAGCCTGCTCCATTCTAAATGGACCCAAACCATACTGAATGATCTGAACAAAAATAAAAAAATTATTGATGGAAAAAGCTGCAAATTACAAAAAGTTATAGAGCTATAAATAACATGAAAGGCAGGCCCTTAATATAGATCAACTAAGAATACTTTGTGAGGTCTGGCCTATATTTTAACACAGAGAAATTTAAGTTTTGCATTAAAGGAACAAAGAAAATCTCATTTACAACATAGGAAATGATTTTTGAAAAGGAGCTACTGTGAAAAGAAAGAAATAGGAGTAATAGGCCCAAGCAGACACATTCCCAGAGCAAAGTGTAGGCAAAATTATTCTTATTGCCCAAGGTGGATTAAACCACAACACAGGAGTTGGTGCTACTATACCTCTCTGGTTTCAGAAAGATCATTACTGGGACAATGTCCTGAAAAAACAGCTCCAGAAAACCAAGGATTTTACTGAGAGAAATGAGACTAATTTGTGATGATAGGGGGCCTTCAGAAACTCCAGTTGTTAGGTTAACATATGAGAAGTTACAACAGAGGACTGTGGTATATGAGTACAGAAACAGCAGAGTGAATGCCCAAATAGCAGTGGTATGTACTTGGGAAAAATCTGACTGATTTTTCATTTATATCATTTGCCGTTGAATCTCCATCTCCAAACAACCACAACTAGGAAAACAAGCCCCTTATAATTTGATTCAATATCATCTGTTAGACTAGGTATAAAGAAAATACTTCAATTAAAAATCACAATTACTAGTAAAAGTACTAATAAGAGCAACTGCTAATTGAAAATTACAAAGCAATTTCTAAGAAGCTCTTTAAAAATAAGCTAAGTACCATTGTAAATAAAGAAAAGGTTTGATATGCCATTGAAAAGGGCCTGGAATGAATCTGCCCTACACAATTCCTACTTACCCACCACCTCCCAAGCAAAATCCACCAAACCCTTTGCATACATTATCCACCTACAGTTTCACCTACCTGCATCAAACCCCATCATCACTGCCCAGACCGGTGCCTTTCAGCAAACTTGCACCAAGCTTGGCCAAGTACACATTGCAGGACAGGCATAGAATTTGTCTTGATAAACTGGAGATGTATTGCAAGCACAGGATGAAATTAAAAATGTTCAAGAGCAAGAAAATGCAGTTAGGCAGAGGTAAACATACAGGCAGCACCTGAGTACATGGCAAGTATATATAAAAAAAGGGAACAGATAGTACAGAAATCAAAAATATCAGTCTGTTGCCAAGAAGGTACGAGCAAGGGTGACTCTATTAGCAGGAGCAGAGTTTGCAAGGAACCCAAAATATTCCTTCCACTTCACTGAGATTTGATCCACCTTCAGCTGGATTACTTCATTTTAGCTTGGTGAGACACTGCAGGGATGGGAGAGATAATCTGAGGAATGCCCAAAGTGAAAATGAATGACCAGAGGGCTGGAAAACATGATGCTCAAGGAAGAACTGAAAGATGTGGCACTACTTAACTTAAAGGAGAGAAGGCTGAGAAAAAGAGAGAGACTTGCTAACAATTTGCTTTTCAACTTATCTGGGGATTTCCAATAGAAATCAGGAGAAGTTAAAATTTGGGCACATGGATAGATTTACATATCAAATGCTAATATGTTAAACTCAGATCCTAACTTACATTTCTCAGGAGATCAAGTCTGACAGTGTTTTCCAGACAAATACCCATGCATTACAAACCGCTTTGAGAAGCTGCTGCTTTCCTGACGTGAACAATAATTTCTCCTGGTACTTTGATTGACGCAAATGTTCAATCACATTTAAATCAAAATAGGAGGAAGCTACTATTTTCCATGGCTTCCTGTAGGACGTATGCACTGTTATCCCAGAGGAGAGGGTAGGTTATGCAATTGCTGAGCAGCTCTGGGGAAACATTTCCAGCAATTATTTGGAAAGAGCTGAGAGAATAAACTTTTAAGACATTCTCATCATTTAGTATTTTCATCAGAAAATAACAATTAGATTTCAAAATAATTGGATTTTGGTTATTATTTCACTCTCCTTATGCAACGGAATGGAAGGGAAATGGAAACTTGCCTCACTAGTATTAGGATTCTTCCACTGGATGCATGTGAAAGTGCTGGCTAATAAAGAAGTGGAATAGTTTCCTCTGCCTTATCATATTCTAACCTCACTGGCCATATAGTACAGTCCTAAACTTGATTTAGAAGCCAAAATGTACCAACTGTTTTCCAGATTAAAGAGATCGTAGAAAGACAGCCAATTCCCAATTCATAGCAAAGCTAAATGCTGCTCCAATTCATCTAATGAATAAGTCAGACAAGTTCACAATGTTGACATCTGAAATGTTATTTTTCTCTTTTAAAGGGAAATTAAATAGAATTATATTAATTTCAAATAAATTTAAATAAATATAGAGTTCTTTGAGCATAAATTATCACATAAATACTTTTCCTCTGGTTACATACTTCCTTATTTATTCTTACTAATTATCCTGAGTTAGCAGAATTTCTAATTTATGTGCCTTGAGCATACAAAAAACCCCACAAACACTTTTTTATCTCCTTGCATGACAATATTTGCAAAACATCAGATGAAAGATTTCAGCTAAATAATTTTCCATCCACCAGCAATAGCATGGCCTACTGATGGAAAAGCTTCCTGGCTTCAACACCGAGCTCTCGAGCAGCTTCTAAACTTGAACTGGACGTTTTTATTTGTGTGTCATTACTACAAGCCCTTCTTGGGTTTAGAGCTACTCCACATCAATTCTATCCTCTGAGCTCTGGAAACAAACTGGAAAGCTGGGCGAGAGCTAAGATACACGGAGCTTTTTCTGAGCACTTTGGAAGCCAAAGTTATGGAAGACTTTTTCCACTTTGACCATTCGTTCTTTGTTATGCTTGGCCTTCGTCCCCTCCTGTCACCTTAAAAATGAAAACAACATGTTCATTATTATTCATGGAAATTCATCGGAAAAGGAGAAGACATCCCTTTTTCCCCCCAGCTGTTCTGTTTTTATTTCTTTTGGGAAAAACTATGCTATTCTTTGCTTGGGTAGCAATCCTTTGAACTGTTGCTTTGCCACTGAATTCACAGGAAGATAATAATTTGCATTGGCTTCACTGATTCTTATCTGCAGGGCCCCAGCAGCAGGAGCAGCTGCAGCCACAGGTCCCTGTTCCTTGTGATGTGGAGTAAAGGGATGCTGCTGGATGCACCTCAGCTGGCCTGGTATTTAATGTTACATGTTTAGAGTACTCCTTGGAGCAACCTCTGCTCCTGACTGGGGTGTACTGGATGTTAGCACAGGATAAATGCTTATTTCTATTAGTGCTACTCCTAATTACATGAAATGAGATGCTATCTATTGCAGCTGACATAATTGCATTGACCATTACCTTGTTACTCTCCTATGAGACAGAGAGAAAATACTATCCTACTTTTTAAATACCAGTAATTAAATTATATCTTTGTATTTCTCTTTTTGCAAACAAACTCTTTCTGCCTCTTTACAAAAAAGATATTTCCATGTGTTTGGTCCTCCTTGTTTTTCCTGTCTGGATCACCTCTGATGATTCTGCAATTGCTTTTCAAGACCGGATGAGCAGTACAATGATCAATATTCCATGTAAGACCATTCAGTGAATGGCATTTCAATTACTTATAAAATCTGCATTCTATAATTGTATGTTTTACATACTTTAGCATTTTAACATAGTGTCATTTTCCAAAACCTCTGCCTAGTTTAGGAGCTTTAACTGCCATGTCTAATGTAGCATCAGAACTCTTTTCCTGGAATGAAATGGTTAATGCAGAAATCTGTGATTTACACAACGGGTTTATTTTATTTTTTTTTTTCCTAACCTACCACTCTTTCCAGGTTTTGGCACTAAACATCTGCTTCACTTATTGCCATGTCGTCTGTCTGTGCAGTTTGCTTGCTAATTCTGTATTTCCCTGCTGAAAGATTTGTCTTTGCCTTGAACAGCAGCTCGACTCGTGCTGTGTGTAACTGGCTCGTGCTTTATCTTCACATTTGCTCTCTGGTCACCATGCACAACATTTCCCCTGAGATTCGCTTTACAACAGAGTAATGTTCATGTAAAAGCTCCCTTTCTGTGTGCCTCCTATTACACAAAAACTCTCACAGCCAAGACTCACATGTCCAAGTCAGTGCTACACACAGATGTGACACAAAGACACAGAAGATAAAACTTTTCCCTCGAGCTCATGGACAGACTCTTATTCCCTTTGCTGTGAAGTTCCTGCTGCAGCTCCTTCTCAAGCTGCAGAACCCCACCTCTCTACACACAGGAGATACACCTCTGCATCAGGAGTCTGTATACACCTGAAAGGGAGTTTAGAGCAGCACAAAATATTTTGTACAAAATATGAAGCTCTCAATTGACTGCACAGGGGAATAATTTGCAAGACTCTGAATTCCCTTCCCCTGAAACATTCTGCAATTTGTTATCTTACCTTCAAAGACACTGCACGTGTGGCAACACAGGAAGCCATAGATACGCATCAGACCTCGTGAAAGGTGTACTGTGAATGCAGAGTATAAATTATCATAAATGTGCGCACGTGCACATCATAGAATGGAATTACAATACATGAAAGCGGTGCTCAGTTTTAACCAAAACTGCAGTCCCAGCTGTCTAAATTTGAGAAAGTAGGAGCTGTGTGTTGAGCATCCTCAATGCTAGGCTGTCCTTGTTCGGAGTCTAAAGCGGATCTAACAGCCGCATTGTAGGCATGAAGGACGGTAAAGCCAGAGCTTTAGCACCCGTAGCCAGGCTGAGGTCTGTCAGAGACACACATCGATACCCGACAGGGGAACCCTCCAAAGTGACACTCGATTTACCACTGTTTCGAAGCAGGCGGGGCCGCGGTGGAGGTGGAGCCGGCTCTGCCCGCTGCGGGACCGGCGGCCGGGCCGGAGATGCGCTGAGGTGCGGCGGGCCGGGCTTCCTGCTGCCCGCACACCTGGGAGCGGGACGTAGGCGGGGGTGGGAGCTC